CTTTATAATATTGCACAAAGCTAGTAGATGGTAAATCAGTTTTCATTTGTCCAGAATGGCTAAAAAACATGTAAGTTTCTTAAGCCAAAACAGGATTTATACATGCAAAATGATCTGTAGCCTTCGATTTTTCATAAACTTACATAATATGATTTCGTACTTGGTAAAAGATACAGTACAATTCAATTGGTTTAGGGATCCTGTCAAAGCTGAAGAAGTCACCATATGTTTTGCACTGTCTATCCCTTTTGGTTCACAAAAGGAGTAAAATGCCACCTTGTGATTATAGAGACTTCTTAAAATCAATATAATATTGGGAGATGCTGGAGTAACTTGTTACACCCTTTTGTATGTAATTATAGAACATGCAAGTTAAAAAGAAAACAAAACAAAAATTCCCTTGCAAGATCTGAAGTCTACAGTCAACACCCACACAAATGCATATACACATAAACCTTACTCTCAGGACTCCCCTAGCCACTTCCAACTTCTCAAAATAAGCCACTCTTAACTGTACCTGACTTACAAATTAAGCCCTAACTCTAAAAACAAATGACTGCTTTGAGATTCAGTGTGTGAAAAAAGTAAGATTAACATGTCTGCCCTAGAGGTTTTCTGCACACGCATTTCACAGTGGCATAAAAAACATATTTGTGGAAGGAGAGAAATGGTTACAAATTTTAAATTGAGTGAATGTTTATCTGAAAGACTTCAAACAAATAAACTGTAGAAATGCCAAGGTGTACACATATTGTGAACAAAAATTTTAGAATACATTTTTAAATAATTCAATGAACAATTTCCTGTATTCTCTCACTCAACCACCACACACACACACACACACACACACACACAAATCTAGACACATACACACAAACATGAACCCAGACTTCCACCCACCTTTAAAAACCTGTTTACATACATCATAGTTTAGGCAGCAATATAAATTCATTTTGTAGGAAAAAACTTTTAAATTACACTATATTTATAGGATAAAAAATACCATTGCTTTATTTTACAAAGCGATTAAGCAGACACTTTTCTTAATGTGCTTTACTGAAAGAACACTTTGCAGCAAAGTTCAGAAATAACTACTGTCTGATCAGTAGTATGACATAAAGGTAACATGCTCCAGCAAGCGGTAAGGTGCTTCCACTCTCTGACCTCTTCTAGCTAAACTAAAACCTTATTGGTCAATCCCTAATACCAGGCATAGTTCTTTTTTCTATGCAAACTAGGAAATGGGAAATAAAATCTCCTTAAAATGCACATTTAAGTTTATATTATTATTTAAATTCAGTGCAATTATTAAGAGTTTCGGCTTCACTACTAAATTTTAACATATCATCTGCTATACCTTTTGAAATGTTCTACAGCTTTTCAATGGCAAAACCAAAACTCACAAAAATACTCCCCCCCAAAAAAAAACCCCATTTAAAAAAAAAGCCAAAAAACTAAAACAAACTTTGTGAAGTAGATGAAATTTCAACTCCCTGACAGGCAGGGCCTTTAAGGACCAAATAGGCATCTGATGCTAGGTGTTTAATATTTAAATGATAAAGCTCAAAAACAAAGTAACACCACAACACTGGATTAGGTGAAAGAGCTCTCTCTACGCTAAATGCACAAATTATATTTTTACAATCATATTCAACATAATTTAAAAGGAATTTTTAGGGAATGTATAAAATGAAATTTTATTAATATTGATCCCATTCAAGATAGAGCTGCCATTGATTTTTTTATTCCACCAATTAGTTTTAATTCTTTGAGTTTGTTATGGCCAAAGCATGCTGGAGAATTTAACACATCATGTGGCATAAGTCATACCATGTGTCACCAAATATAACCTCCTCATTCTATGTCTCAGAAACAAGGATATCCCCCCACTTCTATTTCTACAGAGGAAATGAAGGTGCTGAGAATTTTCTATGATTTCCTGATGTCAAAATACTACACTCTGACAACTATCAGAGTTTGGTCTTAAAGTTTCTTTAAAAACACATTTTATAGAAATGAAGTCCTGCAATGAAGAAATCAGCTGTTTTATGCTGCACACAAACTCAGTAAGCCTATGTCAAATAGCAGGATAGCTGTGTATTTGTTAAAAGTCAGGCAATTTTTCATATGGCTACACTGTAATACCAAGTGGATTTTAAACTCCTTCTATACATGCTACCTTGGTTATACATACATACCTAATTTTGGTTGCATTTGTAGGAAAAATATTTGAAACAGTCAAGTGAGCAGTGACATTAATCTCAAAGCATCCTTAAGTCCTCATCTACTTGTTTCCTATTTTAAAATATACTGCAATGAGAGGAGATTGGTAAATTAACTTCTAAACTGATCCACTAAGACCAAGTAGGCATTGTGGGTTCTTAATACAAAAAATAATACATTAAAAACAATATAACTATCAAAGACTTTGTGAACCACACAAAAAGAACAGGCAAGTTTGGGACTGGAAATGTGATCATTTGTGCCATCACAGCTAAATATATACAAATTTAATATGAAGGGGGGGGGAAATTTTACCAAGCTTACATCATTTCTGAAGGGCTCTGAAACGGCTTTAAAGTTAACATGAGCATTCTAATGGCAATCTTATCCTGTTAACTTGAAAACTTTGAGTAGCTCAAGAGTATATAACCTACAGCAATTTACAACTATGTGGAAAGAAACCTGACTTTTAAAGCAGAAAAACGGGTATGTGCTAGAGGAAAGTTATTCGTCAGAGAATGAACACAGGGTCCTGCCAATGAGGCCTGGCTTTAAACTTCTTATCTTCAAATACAGGGAAATTCTCATGGAGTGCTGTAGTTTTGTATAGCCTCCATTATTTGCTACTTACTATAATACAGTTTAGGTCAATACCACACACTTTTATAAGTCAGTCTGTCTAAAAATCGAATTCCAGATGTGAAAATTAAATGGGGTTAACAATTCACTCTGAATGTATGAATTTCCTAGTGTTTTTGTTAATTTAGCACTAGTTCATTTTATATTTTTTCTGAACTTTAACTAATAAATAAAAAACCTACATTATAAGCAAATACTGAAAGGGGTACTACTAATAGATGACTTCTTAAAGGTATGCAAATTTACTTAAAAAAATACACCAACCTTCAAACCAATCATTCTTTGGGTTAAAAGCATGTTCTAAATGACAGTGTATAGGAAACATATGCATCTTCCCCAACAGATCTCTTGGGATGAATATTATGTTTACATACTAAATCTTCATTTTTTCATCTTCCCAGACAAGACCCTGGAAGTAGTGTTGGGCAAACCAAAGTACAGGAATCCATTACTTGACATTCCTGGAACATCTCACTGCATATACTTGATGAACTTGTAACATTTTTTTCTTTTTATTAAAAGGGAAAACAACTCGTCTTTTGTTTATTATCCCCTACTGACTTTAAACATCTCACACCCTAGAATAATAAGCAGCAGGCGGCCTGCACGGCTCCTTCCAGCCTCTGCGTGTCTTGTCCTTTACCCCAACTCCTACAGTCAGTCACCCACCCAGCAGGTATGCAGCTGTGCACTTTCCACTCCTGTCTATACAAGTAGCCAGCACAATTGTGGGCTTTGGGCTGTGGCTGCACTTGCTCAGGAAAAGTGGCTATACCAGAGGTGGCAGTAGCTAATGCTGTCACTACTTCCTGTGTTTCCAGCACCCACAGAACTGATTTGTACAGCCACCTCTGTAGATATTTTTCTTCTTTTTACGAAGTCACCTGTTTACAGACACCTCCATCCTCATCACACACTTGGACATGTACAAAGCTTGGCCAGCCCATCTGGCAAGGCGGACCACATGTATCCAGTGGATACAGCTCTTAGATTTTGCCAGGTAGACTCTTAATTAATAGGCTTTAAGGGAATTTAACTACCGATTGTTATGAAAACTTCGTGTACTATATATCTGTACAACGTTCAATTAAGTAATGTTCTATCTCACAGACTGTATCATGGAAGTTGCATGACAACAGCGTACTGTGAAAATGCTGTGCAAAAGGGTTGTTTCATCAACAAATGCCTTGGCAACATTTAAGCAAAAGATTTAGCTTTATATATAACCGAGTGCTAGAAATTTTTGCTCCTACTGATTTTGAAGAGAATTTCTAAATAAAAAGAGTATGAGCTTTTCTTTTCCCCCCAAGAACACCCATGCATACACACCAGAGGGCTCTTACTTAAGCACTGCTTTTTGGTGAAAGAATTACATTAGTCTCTTATATAGAATACTATCCTATACATTACTGTAAACGAGCCCAGTGTACTGACCTTCATTCAAACTCACATTTGTTTTGCTTACAATCCTAATGCCTCAGTCTGTTAGGGCTCCATTACTATAAAACCAGCACCTAAGCTACATGCATTGTTTTTTAAAAAAATTGCTGACAAAGACTTTTCTGCAGAGTTTCACTCAAAGCACTTGAAGATAGTGAAATATCAAAGAGCCAGTGCTGCCTGTCTACTTTATTGTAGAGCATGCTATTTCACTGTGGAGTATCAAAACATAAACTTGAATGGTGCATGATAAATAGATTTAGATCTGAATCCCTATTACAGAATCCTCATTTCGATTCTCAATAGGAAAGTCATGTATGTTACAGCAATTAAGTAATAGTTCAAACAAAAAGACTAAAAATAATTTGAAAAATTACCAATTACAAAGTATTGCTTCTCATAAACAAAGATACACAAAAATTCAAACTATTATAAATTCGGGATTATGAAGAACTATTTAGAAGCATGGAAATTTTTACTTCAAAATCTTACAAAGTGTAAGATTGTGCGGCCTTCTCAAAATATGCCAAGTTAATATGTCATGTTGTGGTAAACACATTAATAAATGTATCTCCAGAATTATTTGTCTTTTCAGATGTTGTTGAACAATGTCATGAAAATTCATCTGGAGAGGAGTAACATGGGCATTTCAAGTGCCAATCATTACATCTACTTTTTCTTTTAATTCTTGTTCTCATAGCTAGCATGATAAACCTTTTTCAGAGTGTCACACTATTTATATAAGCTGATATGGAGGCAGCTTTGTATTATTCAAGCAAATGATTTTTGAGTGCATTGAAAGATGGATCTCAAAGCAGTCCCAATACAGCTCACAGTAGATTTCCGTCAACTTGGTGCTCTTTGAATTCATAGTGACCCCTAGGTTAATTGGCCACTAACAGGATAGAAGGTGAAGGGGGAGGAAAAGGTACTTTAAAACCAGGAATCTTCAGAAAGTCTTTTCTTCATTGTAGTCAGGAACATTGCACATCTAAGAACCTCATGTTTAACTATTATCTACTGGAATGACTGGAAAAGTGACAGCCTGACAACTGTGCTTCCTTTTTTTTCACATCATTGAGCCAAAATAATTGCACTGATCCAATGGAATCCAATTGAGGAACCAAGTGATTAAAATGCTGTTTTCCAAAAGAATAAAGACTGATCTTCAACTGTAGGTATTTTTCTTCTTTTTAATAAGTCACCTGTTTACAGACAAAATGATACGGGTTAAAAAAAGATAGCCCTTTTAAAGTTAATGTGTATGTATGTTTTTCCCATTCTGCAATCAGTAAATAAATGGTGATGGCTTTCTGTGCTTAAGCTCAAACTTTCTTATAAACAGCCAAATATTTATACAGAATATTTGTATTTTATTAATAGCTCTCTTTTCATTTTAAAATAATTCAGGTCATTATATTCTTTTTGTTTTAAAAGATCTGCTAATTTCTCAAAACTTCATGAAGTGTGAAGGTCCTCTGTACTGCTCCCCCCATTCTAAAAACTCTCCTCAATGATAACCATAGAAAAGCTGCATAGTGGAGTGCACTGGGAGTGGGGGGGGGGGACACACACGACTGTATAACAATGAAAGAACTTTTCTTTTTTAACTTTTCAAAGAGAAAAGAGAACTGGGGAGAGGGGTGGGCAGGGAGAAAAGTGTCCAACAATGAATGAATGGAAATCCATCCAAAGTCTCTTTAAACTTTTATTAAAATAAAAAAAAAAGAGAGAAAACAAAGATTAGTGTCATCATGTTGTACAACTTCAATGATGGTACAGGTAAATGGAGTTGAGCAATGAGACATTCCTACCTAGAACCACAATTTCTTGTGTATGCAAACTTAAGAACACAAGATCTCTTTTGCTCTTCCAGCTACTGTCTGCATTCTAGGCAGGAAAAAAGATAAAAGAAGGAGAGAAGCCTTCTAGTTAGTCTATTTTAGTTAATATGCAGAAAACTTTTTCTTGGGTCTTGCACTAGAATCTTGTTAAATGATAATTGCTTAACTGTGAAGAAAGTTGATGACTGGTAAATTAATACAAACTTTGTTACAAAAAAATTAGTACATATAGTCTTAAAGCAATAAACACAAAAATGAGCTGAATACAGACTTTGATCACTGTTCAAAGATTCTATGTCAGATACGTATTTTTATTTTATACTGGTTTGCTTACAAAGTTTGAATACATTATTTTTCACACTGGATCTTTCCCATTTCCTTTACCCACCCCTCTCCTCTACCCATCAAATTGTGCGATCCTATGACTAACCCCCGCCCATCCTCACTTCTCTGCTCCTACCCTCGCTCCTTTGGATCCTCATCCCCATTTTACTAGTTATCTTTCTACTTCTACAATAATAGTCTTATACAGTATTCTTTGTTAGATATATTTTTAATGTTATTCCATTATGTCAAAAAGCATATACTGAAAAAGTAAATGGTAATATTTATTTCATAAACTTACAAGAGCTATTTATTACATGGTATCTTTAAAATTCACTAGACAGGAGCTCTGGTGGCCTAGTGGCAAGAAGCTGCACTGTAATCCTAAAGGCCCGTGGTTCAAATCCACCAGCTGTCCATGTGAGAAGGATGGCCAATATCCTCCCAAGTGATTGATTGCCTCTGAAAACCTGATGGAGGGTCAGCTATGGATCGGTTCCAACTTGACGGTACACAACAACAACAGAGAGGATATTTGACAGCTCTAGAAGATAGGATTAGTACTGCTCTTAAAATGGGTTCTTCGTTGAAATTTTTTATGCAAAGTAATTGTGTTTGAGAGCTATTAGCTTAAAAGTTTTAAAGCAGCACATATATGAAAAGACCAATTTATTGTAGTTTGGCATTATTTGAGATTGCAACTACATATATGGTTATTGAGCCTCTTCAAATGTTTCTCACGTGACTAAGACAGAATTTTAAATATGAAAAACTCAAATTCTTTGCTGTCAAGTCAGAACTGATGCTTTGCTGACCTTCTAGCAGGTTTTCAGAGACTGTAAATTACACAAGAGGGGGATTTCCCATCTTTCTCCCTTGGAGCAGCTGGTAGATTCGAACCACTTGTCTTTGGGGTTGGGAGCCCAACTCACTATCCACTAGGCCACAAGAAGCAACTGAAGATGTTTTCTAATTACATACATCATTGTTTGAATAGGAGTTTTCAACTTAACCACCAATATTTAGCCTGTGATTTGAAAAGCGCAGTACGTATAAAATAAGCATTTGGTTTCAAAGACTTGTATCAAAAAAGTAAGCTCAAGTAGCTTAATGGGTAAGCAGTTGCACTGCCAACCTAAAGGTATGTGGTTCAAATTCACCAGTTGCTCCACCAGAGAAAAGATGGACAATATCGTACTGTGCAATTTACAGTCTTTGAAACCTACTGAAGGGTCAGCTATGAGTCAGTTCCAACTTGACATATGACTTGACATAATGAGCTTTTGAGTATCAAAAAAAAGCATGCCTTTATTTTACATTTATTAAATAT